GAATTAAATGTATCATTTCTGAATGTGCATCATCATGACTGTTGATTACTTTGTGAACCGGCAAGGATGTTTCAAAACCAGCAGTCATGAACGAATATTCCAAAATAATGCGCCTGATTTCTCTTTTTAAAGAATGTTTCATATTATTATTTACTTCTTTCACCCATTTTACACATTGATTACATGAAAAATGAAGAAAACAGAATATGAGGTCGGAACCTTCCTGGGTACTTTGAAAATCCACTTTGCCATTAGAGGGTTAATGCACGGCATTGTACGGTAGTTCGAAAAATAGGACGAGCACTTCCGAAGATGAGCAGCTTCAGCTCATCCTATAATCTGTCCTATAATCACCCCGTCCTTGCTCCGAACCCATTGTGTGTCTGTGACCCACAAGTATCTCTCGCGCCACGATGGCGAAGATGATGTCGCGCGATGTCAGTTTCTGCCGTTCTATCGCGAGCGTAAATAAATGAGACGCGACACGGGGCGCGCTGTGTGCGTAGAAACGGACGTTTACACACTGATGATGTCTTGTCTTCGCGGAGTAAAGACCGGCGTTGAGAAGCGCGTCGACGCCGGTAGAGGTGACCGAGTGCAATCAAGTGTATCGGGAGTCGTTGGAGCAGATAACGTATTTACAGGTCAAAGTGATTGTGGCGCGCGCGCGCGCGCACGCCGCGCGACACATCCTCCGTGTAAACGCACGCACAGGCGAGACCGGTCCGTGTGTGCGTCCGAGGCACAATACAGCGATTGTGTCTTCGTATCTTTTGCATTAGTGTGATCGGATGGCACGTGAGTGCGCGTCTGTCATGTCGAAGCTACGTACGAGCTGTGTAACGAGTTTTCGTCAGATTTCGTATCGGCGTTTAGCGGATTGCTTGCGCGTGGACGCGATTTATGGGACGGAAACGTCGCGGATCGCGTGGACGCCCGAGACGGAGGACCGAACACGTTCCATCTCGATGGGCACGGAAATCGATAATGGGATTGGTTGACGTGGAAAATAAGTCGTCGATGAAACC